ATACCCAATCCTTCACCCTAGGCTAGCATTCTCTTTAATCTGAAACCTAAATCAATTCGTGTTACTTGCTTGTTTTATTTTCTTAATTTAAAAACCCCCTTATTGTTTTAGCTTTATTTTGATCCTATAATTATAAAGTGTAATAATTGGTCTCTGTGGATTCGATCCTCAAGTACTACATCGAACCTCTTATTTGAGAAAGTAGCTTGAAGGTTAATTTGAGCATATCAACAATCAAGCATGTCGTGTAAATACTTATATATTTATTAAAAAAATCCAAGACGTACGTCCATTATCCATATAATGTTTAACTAACCTATGTGATAATTTAGCCATATCAACGAGAAAGCTAGATTCTGCATGTCCATGTAATTCCTTGTTTTCAATTTTCACTTTAGTAAGCTAGTGATTGCTATCAAAACAAAAAGTAAAAAATAATCACCGATCATAAGTTACACCACTTCTTGAAGACTCGTCAGTTTCTTATAAAATCCATCGGACTTAGAAACAAGCTCTCTATGACTTCCCTTCTCCACAACTCTTCCTTTGTGCAAGACAGCGATCGTGTCGGCGTTTCTTATGGTCGAGAGCCTATGAGCCACAAGCACCGTGGTTCTTCCCTTCATAAGCTTGTCTAGCGCCTCTTGGACAAATTTCTCCGAGGTCGTGTCCAAAGCACTCGTTGCCTCATCGAGGAGAAGCACCGAAGGATCCTTTAGAACAGCCCTCGCGATAGCCACTCTCTGTTTCTGACCACCTGATAGCTGCACTCCCTTTTCACCCACGTGCGTCTTGTACCCTTCTTCCATCCTGCTTATGAACTCGTGCGCGTTCGCAGCTTTAGCCGCTTCGATTATCTCTGCCTCCGACGCGTTCTCGTTGCCGTACTTGATGTTCTCGTAAATTGTTGTTGAAAACAGAGCTGGTTCTTGCTGGACTAACGCTAGCTTCTTCCGCAAGCTACGTAGGTTTAGGGTTTTTATGTCTTTCCCATCGATACAGAGGTTTCCCTTGTCCGCATCGTAGAATCTCATAATCAGACCAATCACCGTGCTCTTCCCCGAACCGCTTGGTCCAACAACCGCAAGACTTTTACCGGCTGAGACTCTTAGGTTTAGGTTTTGAAAAATGGGGACATCAAGTCTTGCCGGATACGCAAAGCTCACGTTTCTAAACTCTATATCTCCTTTGATCTGAGTGACCAATCTTGAGTTAGCCTGGTCTGGAGGTATCTCAGTCTCTCTATGCAAAACCCTAAAAACTGATCCAAGCGCTTGCGTGCCCTTCACGATATCGGGTGTCAAAGCAAGCGTTTCCGCTACTGAGTAAGCCGTGACAAGCAATACCATGAAAGATTTTATACTATCCGAAAAGTTTGTCTCCTTCCTCTTGATCAAAACTGAGATGTACCAGAGACCAAGAGCATAGGAACAGAACGCGAGACATTGAGACAAACCGTATCCAAATCCAGATATATGACCTCTGAGAAAGGCATTCTTAGTGGGTTTCCTTAGCTCACACGCAAACTGTTCCAAGATTGTCTTTTCAGCACCAAACGAAGCGACTGTCCTTATATTCGCAATAGCTTCACGCGCCACTGAAGTTGCTTTAGAGTAAGCCCTTGTGTAATCTCCTCCGAAGCCTTTTAGAAACAATTGCTGTAACATAACACACATCAAGGTTGCTCAGATTCAAGATTTAGAATATAGTCTAACATATCTAGAGCTGGTTTTAAGATTTAGAAGCCACAAATTTTTCTTTATTTTTATTTTTTACATTTTAGCTCTAAATGAGTCATACTGTATGTAAATTATCTCTAAAAAAACTTTTAAAGTCAAGATGAATGTTTTATTATTTTTGCCTATGACCGACCAGTCCTCAGAGGATCTTAGCTTTCTCAATTACCTCGGTAAGCGAAGCAGCAATGAGAAGAGGGAAACAAGCAGTCACAACAGCTGCAACACGCCAACTGTAGAAGAAGGCAACTGCTAATGCTGTGACTGTAAGAGACAGGTTTTGGACTATTGTCGAGATCCGATCCGCTAGAGCACTCCTCACCAAAGTTGCATCAGCAGCTAAAATTGAAGTTAGTGAACCAGTGTTGTTCTCTTCCATATCGAACCAACCAACCTCATTCGAAAGAACCGCTGCAAATATTGTAAGGAAAGATAAACATTCAAGAATTATATCAATTCCAAAATAAAGACCAATGCCAATGTTTCACTTCAATACGCCCAGGACTGGCTCTTATAAGGATGTTTGAAATGTTTGTGCTTACCTGAGAATAAGGATAAGCGAACCCTAGAAGTAAGACGCTCTCCCATAAGTGTATAGAAGTAATGTTGGAGGAGATATATAAGAGGTGTCACAACTCCGACTCCAACAAAGACAATTGCTACCTTATCGACATCGCGCTTAATCACACTTGGAAAAGGTGAATAGAACGCGTTGAGAACGTAAGCAATCCCCATGGAGAAAAATGCTGGTTGTGATCCAGCAAGAACTGCACCAATTGAGCCAAGTAATGCATAAGGCCACTCTGGAGAATTTAGTTTTATAAGTTCCCATACCATAGAAGATGAGCTTAAAATTTCTTGATTTGAATCTTTTTCATTGTTCTTTTCTTGATCATCCCTAAAACTTGAAGTCCTCCTTGAACTAGCAACCCTTCTTGAACTTAAAGATCTAGCTAGAGATTTACCAGATTCCAACATCGTTGATTGAGGATCTGTCTCTTGGCAGTTCACAAGAGTCGCGTAATCTCCTCCTCTTGATATCAGTTCTGCATGGCTACCGGTTTCAATAACTTGTCCATTTCTCAATACAACAATCGTGTCAACACTTCTGATGGTTGATAGTCTGTGTGCAATGACGATCGTTGTTCTTTTCTCCATGACATTGTCAAGTGCTTGCTGAACACTCTTTTCTGATTCGGCATCAAGTGCGCTTGTTGCTTCATCTAAGAGTAATATCTTTGGGTTCCTTAGAACTGCTCGAGCAATGGCAATCCTCTGTTTCTGTCCTCCTGAGAGCTGAGTTCCTTCTTCTCCAACCTATTAGAATGGTTTGACCAACAAGGAAGTGGATATATGAAAGATGTGCTATAGTGGATGCAAGAAGATAACGTGACAACATATGAATAATATAAGAAGTAACAGACAGGAATAGTTAATATGGTTCACTAATTCGTCTATATCCATAAGATAGATAATGAGCGATTTTATTATTAGAGGATGAATGTATTTTCTTAATGCACTACTATAAGAAGAACATATAAGATATGTATACAACCGTGTGATCTGGTTCAAAAATCCTAACACTAACTGACTTGGGGGTCTAACCGCAATAAAAGTTTTTAAATTACGGCGTTCCATAAAAGAATGACTCTATACGTTTGGATCAGCGAGATCTCCAGCTAACTACTACTAACGAGTCATATTAGAATAAAGGCATAACAACAAGATGAGTATGCAAGTTGAAGTAGATTACCTGAGTATTGTAACCATTCGGTAATGATTTAATGAAACTATCTGCGTTGGCTGCTTTAGCAGCTTCTATAATCTGATCCATATGTGCATCCTCTTTACCGATACGAATATTGGAAGCTATTGTCGTGGCGAATAATGCTGGTTCTTGACTCACTAAACCCATCTGCTCCCTCAACCATTTCAGCTTCAAGCTCTTGATGTCACTCCCATCCAAGAGAATCTCCCCGGAATTGGGTTCATAGAAACGTTGAACCATTGATATGATTGTGCTTTTCCCTGAACCACTTGGACCGACAAATGCAAATGTCTTGCCTGAACATATACTGAAACTTAGATTCTCAAAAACCATGTTTGGTCTGGAAGGATAAGCGAAAGACACTTGATGAAACTCAATCCTTCCAGCTACATTTTGCAAAGTTGTACCCTCGTCTAATTTTTCAGAACCTTCAAGATTGTTGTTTCCTATCATTCTGATTATATTTTCAGCAGCAACTCGGCCTTTAGCAATCGCTGATAAGCTAGGTGCGGCTTGACCTAAGGAGCTGCAAAATTGCAACAAATTTAATATTATGCCATTTTAGTACTACCAGACACTTGGATCATGTACATATTTTCTGACTTACAATCCGCTGTAAATGACATTCAGGATCGTTGTAAAGGCTTTTGCACCGTTTGTTTTGCCGTGGCGTACAAGCAAACTAGCATACCAGAAAAGCAAAGCCCAAGCACAAAACAAGAGGCCATATGTTAATCCAACTCCTAAGCCTTTAGCAAGACCACTCCTTTTTCCAAGTTTTAGAGCTCTCTTGAGAGATTTTGAGTAAGAACTTACAGCTTTCTCTTCTCCCACATATGCATACACAGTTCTTACCTGTGACAAAACCTGTAGATCCAAGTGTTAATAATGTAATATACGATAAAAGTAGATACAAAAAAAAAAAAAGATTTAGATCATCCATAGTGAAACCCTCAGCATGTTAAACAAATTATTTCTTAACTAAAATCATAAACTCAAACAAACACAAAATGGTTTTTTGCGTTGGTGTTACATTTTGTAATAGTAAAATTCTTTTGTAAAAAACTTAAATATATATTCTTACAATGTGACTTTGTTTGTGAAAACGTTTATCACATGTAAATCCAACCGCACGTATGAAACAATGCCAGCCTTAGTTACTAACCTCTTCTGCAACTTTTCCAGCATCAGCATAAGCAGCTTCACTCTTCTTTGAGATTGTTGACATTGTTATGGCATACCCTCCTCCTGCAATTGCTATCAGTGGAACCACTGCTAATGTGAGCAATGTAAGTTGCCATACCGACAAAAAACCGATCACAAATCCGGCGATGAATTGACATAGGTAACGCAAAACATGGCCTGCCTGATACAAAACAAAACAATACTCGGTAACATTTTTCCCATTAGAGTTAATTCATACTCCCTTTATTTTAAAATAATAGTTTTATTTTTATGCATATTAAAATGCATTAAACTTTGATCATAAATATATACATTATTTTATGTATTTATTATTTATTTATGATAATTGTAACCCAACAACAATTCAATTAAGCTTTTATTTTTTTCTGAAAAATTTACTATTATCAGCTATTAAAAATGTATAAATATAAAGTATATATTAGAAAAAATAATTTCAGAACTTTTATCATTAATCTATCTTTCCAAAATGGGGGAATATATTTGAGAGACTACCTTGTCGCCAATGGCATCTTGAACCAAGATGGTGTCACTTGAGATGTGGAAAATGAAATTTGAATCTCTAGCTTCTGTATCGAAATAAGTTATGTCTTTTGCTAAAATTGATTTGAGATAATTTATACGCATCCGTGATGTTTGTCTTTCCCCTGTTTGCATCCAACAAGCGACTCCTGTCAATACAAGCACTCCAAATATAAACATGAGAAGAAAAAAACTGAAACTCGATAATATAGCTAGAAACCTACCCATCCAGGCCGATACCAAGTTGACCAACCCTAAGTAGACCAAGTAGAGAGCATTCTGTAAAAAAAAAATTCACTACATTGTTATTGACCATAATCAATAAAGAGACAACATAAAGTTTCACTGATAACTGTTTTCTGAAACCTGTGAAACGCGGGAGGATATGGCTGTAGAATCTGTAGAAAGATTGCCAAGAGAATCTAGCATCTCCCCAAAGAACACGAAGAAGAGTGGTAGCGTACCACCATGAACACACGTCCCAAAAGTACCTAGGAACATCAAAATGTAATCAACTTTATCTGCTGCGCTAAACAAACCCATCAGGGACATTGATTCTTTCTTCATCTTTTTCTTCTCCTCCTTCTTTGGTTCCCGATCGGTCTGCATGTTTCCGTTAGAGGATGGCTCTATATTATCCATTCTCAGTGAACTCAGAGATGTATCTGAAAGCAAAAATGAGCAGAGAATATCTAGGGTGGTGGGTTGCTTGTGGGGAAAGAATAGGTGAGGAGAATAAAACGATAGAATGGGAACTGAAAACAAAAGAGGTATCTACTGAATCAGTAGTACTGATTGTATTTAATGTAAAGACTTAATATGGTAACTGTGATCTCTCTATCCATCTTTCAAACTGATTCCGACAACTCATATAGTTAATGCCCAGACCCGTCGCTTGAGGCACATGAGACGTATGCTTAACCATATGGCCAAGTTAACTTTCATAGGGACCACACATTTAAATATAATAATATGGCGGCAACCACTTTCACAATTGGTTGATCCCGAGGTTACCTCTATTCGAATAGCATGTCTCAATCTTTGTTTCTATCTTGTACATTAATATTTTATTTTTTCTTTTCTGAGATTAGCGGTCTTCATTTTTTCATTGGCTTCTTCATTTTTTTTTTGAAAATTGTTTCTTGATTTTTTAAATAAATATATCACATTAATCAACCCAAACCGGACATGGTTAAGCTGTTTACAGAAAATAATCAAAGAAAAAGAACCGGAGATACCCCAATTTTAACGGGCTCCAGGAAAACCCTAGAAGCTAAACATTGGCTTCTTACTTATGCACTGTATTTAACCATTTGTCGTTAAAAGTTATATATATGTTTATATGCGTGCGTGTAAAGGTAATTTACTGTATACAAAGCGAGTTTCGAAACTAGTAAACTGAACTTTTTGGGGTCGTGAGAGTTCCCCTTTTTTTTTCTTTGCGTTTTCTCAACCATTTCGTAAGTCTGTTTTAGTTTTTTTTCTTGTATTTCAGTGTTTTATATCTCTTTGTTTGATTAATAGTCTATGAATATTTCTCTGTAATTTTGTCAAAAACTAAAATTTGGAAATATGTTGATATTTTACTTAACAAAAATAGGCTTCATTACTGTGGGAGTCATGTAGTAGCAGGTGTAGTAGAACTTTAAGGGGTCCGCACATCAATTTGGAAAATCTCAACAAGGTTCGAACTTATGGATTGAATTATTGGGTACAGTACGGTGGAATCTAGTCATTATTGGTCACATGGTATTCTTTCCTTTTCTTTATATAACTAACTAGATTTGTGGAAGTCTCCTCAGAACATAATTATCGCTGAAACTGATGGCATGATTTTTTAAGAATTTTTTTTATTTTTTATCCGAATTAAAAAAATATTTAAAAATGAATTAATCACACGATGTCACATGTCAGTGAGATCCGCGAACAGTGCAAGAAGCATTCCAAAATTGGTCATTATTTCAAAACTTCTGTGACCGATTCTTATAATTTTTGTGGAGCCCACACAATAAATTTTTATTCTGTGATTCTAGTTAAACCTAAGGTAATGAAAGAAGACTTTCCTAGAAGAATTCCATGAAAGTATTCTCAACAAAAGTTAAATATAGTCAATTTCAAAACTAATCTATGTAGACTTCCGCTGACCATAAGCAGACTTAATATAAAAGTTGAGAAGATTTCCGTGTAAGATTTTCGCTGGAAGACTTATAGGAAATTCTTCTGTAGAACGTAAAATTTCTGACACAATTTGGTCCATTACAAATGTAATTTCTTATCTGGGAAGACTTTTAGAGAAGTCTTCTCTGGTGTTTTCGAGAATTTTTGAACTACAAAAGTAAACCAATATTTACAAAGGCATACTTTCTTAGAAGTCTGCTGTAGAGGAGACTTCTCTGGAAATGTTCCTTTGTAAATTTTCAATTGCAAAAGAAAGAAAGAGTTCCACAAAAGTGTTTTCTGGGAAGACTTTCACGAAAGTCTTATATGGAAAGACTTTCACGAAAGTCTTCTATGGAAAGACTTTCACGAAAGTCTTCTATGGAAAGACTTTCACGGAATTCTTCTACGACAATGTATAATAAACTTTCATTTTTTTCAAATTTCAAATAACATTTTAAGATTTTATTGTTAATTCATTTTAGACAATATAAGGGGTAGACAATATAAGGGGTCCTAAATGAAATAACTCAATTGATGATAATTTAGAAGTTACCAACATTCATATTTCTAGCTTATTTGAGAAAACTTATTAAGAAGTCTTCTCTCAGAAGACTTATGTGGAAGTATTTCATTTTAGTTTTTTTGTAAACTTGGATTTTTAAGAATATTAAGTAACTTTAAGATAGGTTTTTAACTATTAAAATTGTTAAATAATTTCAAGAAATTATAATATGCACATGAAATCGAAGTTGGAAGAGTTAACATACTCGTTATATCTAATTAGTTGTTTATAATTACAAAATTTATTGGTTTTATTTCTTAAAAGACTTTGTTGGTTTTATTCTTAAAATACTTTATAAAACGTTTCTAAAAAATAGATCTGAAACGATTTGCGAACGCTTTTTAGCTATTCTACAAAACATTTTGATCAACTTAGACGAATCGTTCTAGAAAACGATTTACGCGACAGTCTCTGACAGGTTCGCGATCTCGTTTTCTGTTTACATAAAGCGAAATTTATTACAAAAGTAGTGTTTAAGAACGTCTTTACGACGAATTCTGGGAACGACTATGGAACGTTTAAGAACGCTATACACGAATCTGGGAATGTATATAGTATAGCGACTTAAAATCTCTTAATCGCTTATTGAATTGAGTTCTCAAAACTTACTAAGGTTTGTATTTGTGTGAACAGATTCAATCATGACTGCCGGTGAAAACATCACGCAAGTTAATAGGGCAACAATCAATGGGGCAACCGGTGCAACCAATGAGAGCTAGTCTCTTGGATCGCTACCAACAACAACTCCGTCTGTGCCCACCAATACCATCAACTATCTACAGCCCGATCTGTTCGATGGAACAAACTTCAAGCAGTGGCAGCAAAATATGCACTTCTTTCTGTCTACTTTGAATTTGGCTAGGTATCTTACTGAGGTCAAACCGGTGTTACCCGCGGACACTACCGATCCAAGGGCAGTTGCTAGCCTTGAAGCATGGAAGCATGGAGACTTCTTATGCAAAGGTTACATTCAAAACCGGCTAGCGAATCAATTGTTCAGTGTTTACAGTGAGGCCGAATCTTCCAAAGATCTATGGGATGCTCTGGAAAAGAAATACAAGTCCTTCAATGTAGGCTCTGGGAAATTTTCTACTGGAAAATTTTCAAATTCGTGATGGCTGATTCAAAACCTATCATGAATCAAGTGCACGAGCTACAGTTGATCTGTCATGGGATCACTAAATAAGGGATGAAGCTTTGTGAGACGTTCACGGTCAACTGCTTCATTGAAAAGCTCCCTCCAAGCTGGGCAGATTTCAAGAACTATCTTGCTTACAAGCAAAAACCCGTGACGTTGGCAAATCTGATCTTTAGGCTTCAGAATGAGTCACTAAAACGTGAAAAGAAGAGCTGACTCAAACTCAGGATGCCAATGTCGCTGAGCATAAGCATAAAGGCAAGGGAAAGGCAAGATTCCAAAAATCTAGGCCAAACAAGCTTGCTCAACAAGCACCCACGAGCTTAAAAAAAAAAGGCTCAACATCTCACGTCAAACGAATTTCCTGGGAAGTGCAACTACTGTGGAAAAGATAGGACATAGTTCCTCGGAATGTCGTAGAAAAGCTATGGGAAAAATCAGGCTAACCTAACTGCAGCTGATATGTCCGCTGTGGTCACATAAGCCAACTTTGTTGAAGGTAACCCTAAGGAGTGGTGGTACGACACATGTGCTACTACACACATCTGCATTGACAGAGAGATGTTCAGTACCTATAAAAAATCCAAAACTGATGATCAAGTGAAGATGGGAAATATCTCCCAATCCAAGATTGAAGGTACTGGAAAAGTTGTGTTGAAGATGACTTCAGGAAGGGAGGTTACTCTGACCAACGTGAAACATATTCCAGACATGAGGAAGAATCTAATTTCTGGATCTCTTATGAGTAAGCACAATTTTGGAATCAACTTTGAATCGGACTAGCTGATCCTTAGGAAGAGTGGTGTTTTTATAGGAAAATGTTTTGTTAAGAATGGACTTGTCAAGATGTCTGTAATGACAGTCATCTGAAAAAAATGATGTACATGATTCCAATGAATAAAAATCCAGTTACTTATGTCGTTGAGTCTTCTAATATTTGGCATGAAAGATTGGGACATGTAAATTACAAGTCTGTACAAAGACTAATGAATATGAACATGATCCCAAAGTCCAAAATAAACAAAGACAAATGTGAAGTCTGTGTCCAAGCAAAACTCACAAAAACACCATCACCTCATGTTGAACAAACAATCGAACCTCTAGGTTTAATACACACAGATTTATGTGATTTAAAGTATTTACAAACCAGAGGCGGTAAAAAGTTCTTTGTGACTTTCATAGACGATTGCACAAGATACTGTTATGTTTACTTGGTACGAAGTAAAGATGAAGTCTTGGAAAAATTCAAAGAGTATAAACTCAAAGTTGAAAAATAACTGGAAAAGACTATAAAAATAGTCAAAAGTGATAGAGGAGGTGAATATGATGGACCCTTCAATGCTTTCTGTCAAGAAAACGGCATTATCCATCAAACGACTGCTCCCTATTCACCAGAATCAAATGGAGTGGCGGAACGAAAGAACCGAACTCTAAAAAAATGATGAATGCAATGTTGCAGGAATCTGGTCTAGCCCAGAATCTGTGGGGGGGGGGGAAGAGCTGCTCACCACAAACTATATCCTCAACAAAATACCTCATAAGGTACCTGGAAAAACGCCATATGAACTTTGGAAAGGTAATGCACTTTCGTACAAATACCTCAAAGTGTGGGGGTGTTTGGAAAAAGTCGCAGTGCCACCTCCGAAAAAGGTTTCAATTGGACCTAAAACCGTGGATGCTCTATTCATTGGTTATGCACACAACAATAGTGCTTATCGATTTCTGGTAATCAAATCAGATGTGCCAGAC